TCGTCCGAGTCACACGCGCGCTGCATTGACACCCGCTGTTAGAGAGAGAGAGAGAGAGAGAGAGAGAGAGAGAGAGAGAGAGAGAGAGAGAGAGAGAGAGAGAGAGAAAGAGAGAGAGAGAGCGAAAGAGAGAAAGAGAAGAAGACAGAGAGAGAGAGGGTGCAAAAGAAAAAGAAAAGAGAAAAAAAAACGAAAGAAAAAACGAAAGAAAAGAGAGGAAGACAGCGAGAAAGAAAGAAGGAGAGAGAAAGAGCGGAAGACAGAAAGAAAGAGAGAGAGCGAGGGAAAAGTAAGGAGAAAAAAGAAAAGAAAAGAGAAGCAGACACAGATAGAAAGAAAAGGGGAGTGAGAAAGAAAGAGAGAGAAAGAGACAGAAACAAAGACAGATACAGAGAGCAAGAAAGCTAGAGAGAGAGAAAAAGTGAACGAAAGAAAGAAGGACAGAGACGCATATATATAGAGATAAAAACAAACGGAGAGAGACAGGGACAGAGAGAGAGAGAGAGAGAGAGAGAGACAGGCAGCGAGAAAGCGAGAGAGAGAAAGTAAACAAAAGAAAGAACGATAAAGGCAGACAGAGATAAAAACAAACAGCGAGAGACAGGGACAGAGAGAGAGAGAGAGAGAGAGAGAGAGAGAGAGAAAGAAAGAGAGAGGACAAAATACAGAGAGACACAGCTCCGTACATACTTCCTAAAATAGCCACTATTTCGGATAATTCTGGCATATAACCCAACGCGCGTGTGCCTTCACACACGCAGTGAAGACATCCGCCTAGGCCATCACCGCCTCTGCCTTCACACACGCACAGTGAAGGCATCTACCAGGACTGCCTCTACCCACACACACACACAGAGTGAATGTATCTAGCAGGACTGCTTCTTCCCACACGCACACACAGAGTGAAAGAATTTGCCTAAGCCATCACCGCATCTGCCCTCTCACACACAGAGAGTGAAGGAATCTGACTAGGCCATCACCGCCTCTGCCCTCACACACACGCACACACAGTGAAGGCATCTGCCTACACCGTCCCGCCACCGTCTCTCGCACCCGTTTTCTTCGTGGAGAGGAGGGGGAGCAGGTCATTCTTCGGACAGTGGTCGCTGGTCAAGCAGCGGGCGGCCGGTTGTGTGTGGAGAGTGAGGAACAAGTGCATCGGTCAGTGACTATGTGAGTGACCCAGCCATCGATACCGCGTAAGTACCCCAGTAGATGCTAGTGCTTGTAAGCGCTCCACGGGCGTCATATATGTATATTATACATGTAGTTGGCGACAACTGCCCGTTTCTAGTTTAACATGAATAGAGTGTATGTTGTGTAAGCGAAGTAACAGTGTGAGTATTTTTAATTAATTTCTGTTCGATGCTTATTCAGGCCTGCCGCCTATGGACGCCCTCTACTGTTGTTCACCACCTAGAGCGACGTTCTCGTGAGGCTGCTTATTGTAGTGCGAGGCTATCTATGTGCGCGTGTCTGCTGTACGCAGAGAATCAAAAACGGGGGCACTGGCATACAATACATTTACTGTATTATGTCAGCGCGTGCACGTCGTACAGTAACTAACTATATAGAAATGTGTAAGCCCAGACGTACTCTCATACACATACCCACACACGGCACACAGTCGCACACGTTTGCTAGAACTATGACTTATGAATAATATTGTTGTTTTTTTCATAAATTAAAACCACTAAATAGTTACGTTTTAAATAATTGTGGTTCTTGTAGTCACTTCGAAGTTTTAACAAACATACATGTACCAGTTATCGTTACCAGTGTACTTGGGTGTGCACATAATCATTACATACACACCTCATACTTGTGGCTGTTGCTACGTTAATTACCTGCCTGCGTCTTGTGAGAGGTGTAAATGACATAACCCTAGATATCAATCAATCCACAAGCGTGGATACGACTGCTTGCGACCTGGTTAAGAATTTCCACTTACATGTGCCTACCAGAAGAAGTCAACCGGCTCAAGCTAACATGAGCACCACTTTAAACACACTGTGCTGGTGCAACTGACAACCAAGATTCATTGCTTTGAGCCAGAAACCAAATATGAAAACCAAGCTGCTACATAAAGATTAAAGACAGAGAACATGATTGCAAGTGTGTCCAAGTTCCAGGTAACACACGAAACCAGCTGACAGGCACCAGTAAAGACTGCGAGTATATCAAATCAAGAATCTACACAAATACTGTGATGAAGCACCTCTGAGTTGATAGTGGTTAACAAATAGCACGTATCTCTTACCAAGAAAACTAGGTACAAGGAATACCAGTGCTGTGAATTTGCACAAATGGTTAGGAATAAAAGATTCCACAATACATGCACCATTTGCTGCGTCAGAAGAAATTATTGTACCAAACCAAGATGCTGTGCATCAGCGTGACTGGACGACACAGGTCTAGGTCTGATACAGACTGGAACCAAGAGATGATGTCACGACAGAGCTCTGTACATAAACAATACAAATGATATATAGGTACTGGCACAGACTGGGACCAAAAGACAAACTTTAGGACACTGCATGTGTAATTTACCCGAAACAAACGTTTCAATCTTCAATTTTAGTACAAGAGACTGAAAAGTGAAAACAAATCGAGAATGGTAGCTCTGCGAGATAAGGGATGCTGCAAGTGACAATCACGAAGTGCACAGCAGCAAGGAAGGTAAACGGGACTGAAAGGTGAAAACAAATCGAGTAAGGTAGCTCCTCATGATGGGAGATGCTGGGCGGGGCAATCACGAAACGCACATTGACAAGGAAGACAGCGATGACAGGAAGACCAAGAGACGCACACCGGCGCGAGGAGTTCTTACCCGTCGTCGCCTCCGTTCTCGTTCGCTCCGCCGGCCACGTACTTAGGAAGCATGCTCTCGAGCTGCTGCGTCGTGTGGATGCTGGACAAGTCGAACTCCGGGTCGCCGTGGCTGCTCGCCGTGTCGTTGACGCTGCCGACGGCCGACGCCATGTCCGTCACGTTGCCGGACAGTCCGTCGGATCTCACCGACTGCGGAAGCGCGTTGCTGCTGAGCGCGGCCGCCAGCGCGTGGACGCCCGCCGACGTCTCGGACCCGGCCTTCGAGGTAGTCGACGCAACCTCGGGGATCGACCCCGTGCTTTCCATCAGTGCAGCGGGGTCGGGCACTTGAGCGTCGGGTAGGGGTTCGACGATGGGCGGCTCCGCGGCAGGCAATGGCGCATGCTGCGGCTGGTCGGGCGAGCGGCCGTCGTGGCCGAGGTAGTCCTTGCAAGTCCATCGGCCGCGCTTGAACGGATCGCGCGTCTCCACTTTGACAACCTTGAAGCGCGAGTGGCTGCCGTTCTGAGCAATCGCGTGCACGGCAGACGAGACCACGCCGGGCGCGACCGCGCCGGAGGTGGCCTCTATACTGCGGTCGCTCGTGGCGCTGCCACCCGTGCCGGGCGCGACGGAGGTGGTCTCTAAACTGCGGTCGCTCGTGGCGCTGCCGCCCGTGCCGACCGACGACGCGTCCCAGACGTTCGGGTCGTCCGTCTTGATCGAGCTGTCGAGGATGTCCGAGCTGAGCTCGTCCATGTGACTCGTCTCGTCGAGGTCGTCCTGGCTGTCTTCGCCGTGCTCGCCGCTGCCGGGCATGTTGTGACGCACGCTCGTGATCTGGAACGTGTTGATCCTCTTCTGAGCGCTCTCTCCGTCGACCACATCGGCGATCGGCATGACGCCGACGCTCGGTTTCATCGTCACAGTCTGCGCGTCTGCCGCCCTGTGCCCGGCATTGTTCAGCATAACGTCCTCTTCAACCATCGGAATTCCCAGCTTTGCGTTTCCAGCCTTGTGTTCGACTACTTTTAGGTCCGTGATTCGATCCACCATTGTGCAGAAATGCAAGTTTTTTTTACGAAACAACACAGTGAATTATCAGCCTTTGAACGTCGATCGATTATAATAAATAAATTGCATCACATCCAGCTTGCCAGAATGCACTAGTGGGAAAGCCACATTGCCACCACCTAGAGGTGTGTCACCAGCTGTTTCCTATGTAGATCTTGGCCCCAAGAACAGATTGTTTCCTAATAGTCCAGGCTGCAATCTGGCACAGATCAATAACGACTAGGCCCTACTCCTTTTATGGATGTTTTAGCAAGTAGTAAATAAATGCCATAGATTAGATAAGATTTATTTCCCAACACTCACAAAACTACACTGTGAGCGAGTACTTGTTAAACTACAAATCCAATGTATAGCTATAGATATTGGAAATGAGAAAGCGTATGGGTTCTACTAAGATTAGCGGTAGGTATTGATATTTCAGAAGATAGGTTTAGAATCAAAAGTGGTTTACATTCACGCACTTCTTCCTGCAGTATTGACCCTCGGTCTTGGCACCTGCACAACTTCTCTCCAAGACACCGACAGGTGTTAGTACGCTCACCCTCAGCAACCTTGCCGATACCGTTCAGGTCGGTGGCTGAAAGAATACTAACGCTGTGATTCACGACGGTATCAACAGGGTTTCCACTTTTGTTCACGTCGTGGCACAGTTTTATTTGAAATTCTGAGTCACACTCACAATCAGATGCCAGTTCGAAACTGAACACAGATAGTCCTACTTTACGCTTGCCGTTGCAGTTCAAAAACGTCGCGTTCTCAGCTCCTCTACACTGTAAATTCGTCATAGTAGCCATATGAATTTGTCCGGTTTCCACTATATCGTTGACGACAATAAGGTGTCAAAATGTCGAAATTCAATGAAGTTTTCATTGATTCAGTGCTTGCTATAACGTAAAGTTAGACAAGCCACAATATTAAAGATGGCAGACTGCTTCGTCGAAACTGAGGCTGTGACGTCATCTAGCCTAGTTCATGCTGATAAACTTATGACCGAAGATCCGGATCAACTGCCTTCTATCTTTGAAATATATAGCAACTCCAACTATGTTTGTATTAAATAGCATATAAAATAGACATATCATATATTATTTATATGTTAGCGAGCATGCTCTCGATAGAATTCTGACGAACCCATGTACATTATTCACCGAGAGGGAAGACCGGCTGTCCAATAAATGCAGAACGGGGGCGGACCCTGGTGGCCGGGGATCGTGGAGCTGTGGGAGTGGGGAGGGTGCAGCGATGCATTTTTTGACATGTTGTGGATTTGCATGTATTGCTTTTTTTAATATTTTTTATTTTTTAGTATTTTATATTCTATTTCAACGTAAACAATTTTTGCCACATACATAGGTACTAGGAAAACCAGGCCTGCAGTCACGGTGATGGAGGGCTCCTCTCACAGCATAGACTCCTTGTTTACGATGGCGCACCACTCCTCTGATCCTGTAATCTTAGATATAAAATACAGATCTATAGAATCTGTACTATTCTATTTCTGTGAATATGCAAGGAACTGCAGATAAATATAGTTTATACAATCCACCTCTAAGTGTCGCTACCGAATCAGAAATAAGCAATCATGTTCACATGCACATAGACTTATATATAGAGATATAATTATTAACTATTTGTTTATTGCCTTTCCACAATGATGGTATAAAACTAAGAGGTAAACCAGTCTGTTTCAATGAGTCCTCAATTCTATTTATATGTTTCAATATAATGATCATCTTGTTTATATATCTTATGATATATATTATAATGTCTTGTAAATTGAAATCGCGTTTCTTTGAACAAGAAGTTGAAAAACTTTAGAATAGAATTCCGACGAGCAGTGTCATTAAACAAGTAAAATGATAAATACAGTGAGCGTCTATTTTACTTGGGAGCGCCATATAAATTAAATGTGGGTTTCATTTGCTGTTCGTTTATCTATACGGATACATTAATAAGGACGACTCCATCGGGACCAGGAAGATAGGACACCCACCAACTTGCAACTGGAACCGGAATTTCTAGAACGTGGTAACAATTTGTCTCAGTTGGAATACAATTAACGCATTATGGTCACAATTGTAGTCAGAATCTATCGGTTCGTAACAGTGTATCACTGAAATACATCGATAATACTGTCCACCAGATGTCGCCGTAAGTCCGCACAAATCATAGTACAGATCGCGTGTTCATATGCGCGTATGTCTTGCCTACGTGTGTCCCTCGCCACTCCTCCACTTCCTCTCGGACTCGCGATATTTGTGCTTGCATGCGTCAGAATTCGTTACTTAATATTACGGCGAACGTTGATAATGGCACATGTAAAAGCTCCACACACGGCAATCGTTGCCCTTGCGAAAGGGTATAATCGTTGCTTTTGCCGTGCGCGCTTTTTCACGATCTCGCAATCTATCCTCAGCGCTTCTCTTTTTTTTATCTTTTAAACGTCTCGCAGTGAAAAAAAACCGTGCAACACGACAGTCACCTTGATGTGGGTAATTAGCGAATGTTAGCGAAGACGTGTTAGTGCCTCGCGTGACATAGCAATATGACGTACTGGTAATGGACGTGGCGTCGTAATGGAGCAAATTTTCTGCTCGACAGAAAAATAAATAAACACATACACACGTGCACTGGTATTTTGAGGAACAAGCGGTGGAGTGATCGATTATCGAAAGAGGCGAACGCCGAACCGAAGCACACAAAAGTATAAATCCAGTAAGTATATACTATAGTATAGCATTACTATAGTACCACAGAAATCCTTAGAACGAACACGCGCGATCGAAGAAAGACAGAGAGAGAGACACATACAGAGAGAGAAAGAGACACAGAAAGAGAGAGAGACAGAGAGAGCGAGAGAGAGCGAGCAACAAAGAAAGAAGAGAGAGAGAGAGAGAGAGAGAGAGAGAGAGAGAGAGAGAAAGAGAGAGAGAAACACGCAAACAACTTCAAAGGGAGGGAAAGGTAAGGAATATTTCGCGAGTTAATTTCGCTCGTCTTTCTCGGTGTATATAATATATCCTTGGTAAATTTGCGAGGTTGCCAATTTGCGACGCCTTGTTGTTGCTGCTGCTGCTCGTGTAGGCGGAAATATTCACGAGGGATACAAATTTGTTTCACTTGCCAGTTTGCATCTGCATTATCGAATTTTCTCTCACTTCTAAAGCGAGCGTGCGAGAGAGGGAGAGCTTAATTGATAGAGAGAGAGAGAGAGAAAGAGAGAGAGAGAGAGAGAGCGCGCGAGAGAGAGAAAGAGAAGTAAGCGAGTTTCATCACACAATTTGTAATATAAAAAATTTATTAAAAATTAAAAATTTAAAAAAAATTATCCAGAACTTAATAAATTGAATTTGATTCACACGCAATTCAAATTAATTAGACGAGTGCATATTTTACGCCACTTGAGCGAGGCTGCGTGTGCACATGCAAATTACTGGAAATTGTCTGAATCGAATAAATTTATAATTATTTACTATCTTCTGAAAACAGAAGCCTTTGTTCATGCGGGCAGTAGCGTACGATAAAAGTTCTACGTTTGTATATGTAGATAAAATGCGAAACAGTCGTGGCCGAAACGCAAGGAGACACCCACGTACGTACGCACACACACACACACGCGCGCGCGACACACACACACACACACTCACACGCACGTGCGCGCACGCACGCACGCACGCACGCACGCACGCACGCACACGCACACACACACACACACTGCTGATTGACATCATGAACATTCTATACTACCAAGCAACAGCGCAGAGATCATTGCTCCCTTTGCTGTCCCGCCTCTATAGTACAAAGCCCTGCCGACACAGTGTGACGGGGGAAATGCCGCCCTGAGAGAAGGTCATTCTACGTACACTCATCAGGTTACCACCAAGACGCGCGCGCGCGCGCGCGCGCGAGAGAGAGAGAGAGAGAGAGAGAGAGAGAGAGAGAGAGTGTGTGTGTGTGCAAGGGAAAGAGAGAGAGCGAGAGGGCCAGGGAGGTGGAGAAAGACTCGAGGAATTCATCAGAGCGGGGAAGAACGAAAGAAAGAGCGAAGGCTATCCAGAGAGGAGGAGAAGAAGAAGAAGAAGAAGAAGAAGAAGAAGAAGAAGGAGGAGGAGGAGGAGGAGGAGAAGGAGGAGAAGGAGGACGAGAAGGCGAGAAGGAGAAAGAAGGAAGAAGAAGATGATGAAGAAGAAGAAGAAGAAAAAGAAGAAGAAAAAGAAGATGAAAAAGAAGAAGAAGAAGAAGAAGAAGAAGAAGAAGAAGAAGAGGAAGATGAAGAAGAAGAAGAAGATGAAGAAGAAGAAAAAGAAGAAGAGTAGGATGAGATCGATGTACGGGCGGTATATGCTGAGTCACGATCGAGCAGAGGATATGCGCCGGCGGCGGAAGCAACGGCGGCACCCGCTTGCTGCTTATATTACTCGTCCTTCGATCGACCTTCATGCTTGTCTGTCACGGTCACACGATATTTCGTTCACTCACTTGCTATCTCTCTCTCTCTCTCTCTCGCGTGCCCGCGCACTTTCGCTCTTGCTCTCTCTCTCTCTCTCTCTCTCTCTCTCTCTCTCGCGTGCCCGCGCACTTTCGCTCTTGCTCTCTCTCTCTCTCTCTCTCTCTCTCTCTCTCTCGCGTGCCCGCGCACTTTCGCTCTTGCTCTCTCTCTCTCTCTCTCTCTCTCTCTCTCTCTCGCGTGCCCGCGCACTTTCGCTCTTGCTCTCTCTCTCTCTCTCTCTCTCTCTCTCTCTCT